TTCTTGGGCAGAAGAGGACCACAGGGTTGTTTTCCATGTGTGCATTCTACGGCAGAAGAGGACTCCAGGGTTGTTATCCGTGTGGACATTCTAGGGCAGAAGACGATCCCAGGGTTGTTCTCCATGTGGGTATTCTAGGGCAGAAGACGACCCCAGGGTTGTTCTCAAGTGGATATTCCAGGGCAGGAGAGGACCCCAGTGTTGTTCTCCATGTGGGTATCCTAGGGCAGAAGAGGACCCCCGGGTTGTCCCCCATGTTTGTATTTTAGGGCAGAACTGGACACCCGGGTTGTTCCCATGTGGATATTCCAGGGTAGAACTGGACCCCCGGGTTACCCCCCATATGGATATTCTAGGGCAGAACTTGACCCCCGGGTTACCCCCCATGTGGATATTCTAGGGCAGAACTTGACCCCCGGGTTGCTCCCTCATGTGGATATTTTAGGGCAGAACTGGACCCCCGGGTTGTTCTGATGTGGATATTCCAGGGCAGAACTGGACCCCCGGGTTACCCCCCATGTGGATATTCTAGGGCAGAACTTGACCCCCGGGTTACCCCCCATGTGGATATTCTAGGGCAGAACTTGACCCCCGAGTTGCTCCCTCATGTGGATATTTCAGGGCAGAACTGGACCCCCGGGTTGTTCTGATGTGGATATTCCAGGGCAGAACTGGACCCCCGGGTTGTTCTGATGTGGATATTCCAGGGCAGAACTTGACCCCCGGGTTGCCCCCCATGTGGATATTCTAGGGCAGAACTGGACCCCCGGGTTGTCCCCCATGTGAGTTTTCTAGGGAAGAACAGGAGGACCCCAGGATTGTCAGACACCTGGGATTAATTCACTGTGAACCACACAAACAAATGACTGATACTTTATACCACGTCCCATGCTGTCAAGAGGACACATAATCAACTAAATAACCCAGCCACCACAGATTTAACAACAAATACACTGGTCACTGGTGTAAAGAAATTTTTATTGCAAGCTACTGGGTAGACAGGTAACAAAAGAGTGAGTTGAATTTTACACTACTTAAAGCAATTCTCCAGAAATGGGCTTCACAAACTATACCCATCTAGGGAATGAGAACCCAGATCTTCAGCGTAATGAGGGAATGGTCAAACTGATAAATCTATCAACAGCTCACATGCCCTATGATAATGAATATACAGTAATACCACCAAAAATTATAAGTGGTTATGGCAGCATCAGTCAAACTAACCTGTAATCAACATCAATTAATAGTACATAAATTAACACAAAAGTAATCCTTACCAAACCAGAAGCATGTGTTACAGGTTTTTCAAAACAATCCAGTCTGACATGAACAATGAATGAGAAAAGTGCCATTCGTTACACAAAGAGATCATTATTAAAATGTTTATATCAAATAACATTAAACATGGCCCGAAACAGGAATTGTAAGAGTATCCAACGTAGACATGCTACAGGTCTATACCTTGCAGTAAAAGAAAATGGCAGTGTACATGTACTATACTGACGTAAAAAACACATCTCAAATAAGTTTAGAAACAGGTAACTGTATTCATTGCTTGGTTCCTGTCTGCCAGTAATGCTGCACTCAGCAGTGACAGGAAAGATTAACTGTAGTAGCAAAACAATCAGGTGTTTTCTGAACTTCTTTTGAGTAGTGTGTCTGTGAGGCGCTAATGTTGAACATGCTGAAATATACATGGAGCCAACATGCTTGCCAAGTGGTTGGAAGTTCAAGAACATTCTGTCTGAGTTGTAATATACGTGTTTCCTATTTAAACTCATCCAAACAGGGAAGGTTTTTTTCAGCCGAATGTTGGAGGGAGGCCAGAAGTGCTGCATGTCTCAGATGTTTGCGACATTTTACAACCCCATGCATGGTGCTGACTAACTTAGACACGCAATCAGGTGACCAGGATTTGAACCCAGTCACAGGTTTCTGGCAGCTCAAGGGATGCAACTCTCCATTGTGAACTGCAGCGTTTGATGACTGGGTCATCCTTTTATCAATGATTGATTTCATCTAGGTTCTGCTCACATGCATTCTTTTTTATCTAGGATATACTTTCTCATTTATTCAATACTTTTACAAGAGGGAAGACATTCAGTGTGTCCTGGTTCTGAGTCAAACATAGGTGATTCAAAAAAGATGTGTAATTTGTTTTAGGACCATTTACAGCACAATGTTAATTGACACAGGTCGCAAAATGACACAAAGATATCGAGGGAATGTTAGACAACTGAGATATGATGCAGTGGACTTTCACAGATGAATGAAACAGGTGTTTCTTGGATACCTTGCTTGGTACATTTAATGCATTAACATGACTGGAACACACGGCACACACACAGGCAAATACTGTAATTGGTGGCCAGTATTTTGGTCAGGTGGAGTTCATTTATGAGCTGATAAAGTAAAGCATACACTTCATACATGGCATGAAACCCTTGTGCTTCGTTAAACGTGTATATTGGGTCATGACAGGTCTAAAACAACAAACACTTGCTTCAAATAAAAAATGGCAGTTTGTGGAACAAAAGTACATGTAATTGCCTGTGCTCTATAAAACACAGAGAATGGGTGCTGATACTTAATCCGGATATAAATATACTGTTGCCAGAACATACGGAGAAGCTTTGTTTTCACAACTGTTCGTTTTACAGATAAAGTCCTGGGATCCATCTATATATATTGTAAAGGATTTTCTTTACAAAATAACATGGCACATGAAACAGAAATATAACAGATATGAATATTCAGGTTTATGCAACATTGCAATATGGAGCATCAATTTGTTCTTGTATATACTGACCATGTGCTAACATGTTGTACTTACATATCTGCCAAGAAAATGCTGCCAAAATATTACCGCTAATAATGAAATTTCATTTATTTGATTTCAGAAACTAATAAAAAGATAACTTTCTGTACAAACATGTCATCATTAAAATAGTTCAGGAAAATACAGAATGTCAGTTATATAAATTGAGCACATTCTTGAGACATGTCAGAAACGCATTTAAACACTTAAAATCAATATGTAATGAAAGCATTTCTCTTCAACAAGAGACTGATGTAACCTCCAAACTACAGAAATAAGATTCATATGATAGTCAAGCAGTGGACATTAAAATCACTATTATAACTCATGTTTTGCTGAACAGTTAAAACATAGCATCACCAAACTCGACTTTAGTGACAGATCTATTAAAACAACAGTATATGATAATGGTTCTGGGCAGAGGTAAGTACATGCATAGTTTCATTTGTATATAGGACCTCAAAAATATATGATAACATTTCATATGGTATTTGCTGGTTATCAAGGGTATAACATGACTACAAGTAGGTACCGTACATTTCTTCAAAAAGGACATCAATTTAAAAATGAAACTTAAAAATATAAAAACCATGGTTTTAAAAATATTTTCAATATCAAAATAAACTTGCCATTTGAGTGGGGTATATTGCTCTAAAACCACTCTAAACACCATGGTTTTTACAATATTTTCAATATCAAAACAAACTTGCCATTGGAGTGGGGTATATTGCTCTAAAACCACTCTAAACACCATGGTTTTTACAATATTTTCAATATCAAAACAAACTTGCCATTGGAGTGGGGTATATTGCTCTAAAACTACTCTAAACACGATTCCAATTATGTAACAGTGTGTCCGCCTATAGCACATAAGCTCAAAATGCTGCACGTCTAAGATGTTTAACACTGCAGTGAAACCCATGGGCACCTAGACACAAAATGGACCCAGCCAGAATCTGACTCCACAGTTATAGGTCTGTGGCTTCCGCAAAGGGCACAGCAAATTGTGCTGCCCTTGACATCTTGGCCATCTTTGACCTCCAGGCTGGTATGGACGTAACAAAGAAAGAAGCAGTCTATATATACTGTATACAAAAAAATCTGGATGTAGCAAATATTTCTTCATAAAGATATTACATAGAAGGGTATCTGCTGAGCAGAGTTACGTCCCTTACCCATACAAGTATCTGCTGATCAATTGTCAAAATCAGACATTATAAGATAAAGATCCCTGTTTTGTCCGTTGGGGGTGGGTTTCATTTTTTGATGGTTTGTGTTCGGTATAAAACAGTGTGTGAGAGGTATATACCTACTATATTAATGATTCATACCCTACGCATGATAAATTTAACATGCTTTGGGGATCAGCTGATGTTAATGTCCTTAGAAAGTTGGCCATGTATATCTATTATGCAAACTGTTTCAGAATAACCTGCTGATTAATTATTATTTTCTCTTTTTCTCTCTCTCTCTATACATTGTCATATACAGTATATGCTGACTGACCACATTTATGTATGAACATGGGCCGGACGCCTACATTCTTCATGAATAAAGATGTCAAGAGACAAACTTTACGATCTTAGTGACTGTTTAAATTGTTCAACATCCACAGTGAGACCATCCTCAATATCTCCAGGGCTCAAATTCCAGTAAGCATATAATAACCCATGAATCCCTTCAAGTGTTCTTTTATTTTTTCAAAGTTACCCATATGATAGGAATACTTGAGTAGCCAATCATATTGGCCAATGCACATTAAGGGCAGATGATTTGAGACTGAACTACTGGAATGGATGCTGGGGTTAGTGAAGTGTTGATGGGATGTAGCCCTGGAGATATAGAGGTTGTACTGGACAGAATTGACTCACTGCTCAAAACAGGGATATCCCAAACCCAAACATAACGAGTACAGCTGTACCAATAGCAATCCACTAGATCCAGTGCTAGGAGTTGATGTTATTAGAAATCCCACTATTCACTAATATACCCGTGAAGATCTGGGTTAGAATTGATCTTCAGCACCATATGCTTGTCGTAAGAGGCGACTCAAGAGATCGGGCGGTCAGGCTCGCTGACTTGGTTGACACGTCATCATATCCAAATTGCGTAGATCGATGCTCATGCTGTTTATCACTGGATTGTCTGCTCCACACTCGATTATTTACAGACCGCCGCCATATAACTGGAATATCTCAAAAGATTTTCTCAAATACTTTGTGGAACTGGCCAAAACATTCCTTCATAAAGTAACATGTAGAAATAGAGAGATGGCAAAAAAAATGTACAGCTTACAGAGTTTAAAAGCTTCTTACCAGTCAAAGAGTGAGTGAGTGTGGTTTTATGCCGATTTTAGCAATATTCCAGCAATATCACGGCAGGGGACACCGGAATACCAGTCAAAGAAAAGAAACTTACTGATTATTTCTATATACTGTTGCTAGTCACAGGTATGGAGGCACAAGTGTAATGATAGTGAGTGAAAGGATGATGCTTATGTTGACTCTATACATAACCTGAGAAACTAAATACTGCATTCTTCACAGAATACTTTCAGATACACAATCAGTCACTAAAGTGGTTTTGTACAAAAAAAATACTTTATCTGCTAACAATCACCAATACTTCTGTAAAACAATTATAAAGCAAGCACAATGTCAGGTAGTTTAAAAACACTGGGATGATGATCAACATGAGTGAGAGTGAGTGAGTGAAAGCATGAGTGAGTGACAATGTATGATGCAAGTGAGTGAGTGAGAGTGAAAAGTGAGCGTGAGTGAAAGCATGAGTAAGTGACAATGTCTGAACTGAGTGAGTGAATGAATGAGTGTGAAAAAGTGAGAGTGAGTGAGTGACAAGGCAGTCAGCAACATGCAGCTGAATAACAGCAGCCAGGACCTACGTTCTGTGTCCGTGCAGGGTGGATCCAGGAGTTGTAGTACCTGCTTTCATATAGTAGCCATCAAACCTTCTGTCATGTTACTCATTCTTATTATCCAGCCCTAATGTCTGACCATGACGTGGAGCTGTCACTGGATTTCAGGATATATGGACACACTAAATGGACTCAGCGGAAACAGATAACACAACATACAGACATTAACTCACTCACTTACTACATACATATATTAACTAGCAATGACTAGACAAACTAGAAAGCTAAGTATGCCAGTTCAGTGAAACATTATATTTCCACTTGTATACAACTAATGACCTGACCCAATATATTTTAAGACAAAGTGTTAGTCCACAAGGAAATAACACCAGTGACCTTGACCTTCACCAGGTTTTACATTCACCTAGAGTTAGGGGTCCAAAGGATCCTACTTACTAAATTCAAAGGTCCTTACAGAAAATGTGAGAATCCTGTAATAGTGGTGCTGTGTCCAACACTGTAATATTTCTTCTACAATTACAGGAACTTAATATTTCTTATTAAGAACTTGGTCCCTTATATATTAGTGCATCCCCCGGGATATGTATTTTCTGGATCAATTTTTACATTTGTGCATATTGAATGTACATATCTGTGTTGTGTAAAACCCTGTCCTTCCTGAAATTTCTATTCTGGGACAAATGGACTGAAGTTAATTGTGAAGACCGGTGCTTCATCTTGTCTATTTCGGTATAGAATACATCATGTATTTCAGGCACAAATATTTGTGAATAAACTGAAACCATGTACTATCTTACGTAACACGAAAAATACCAAATTCATTGGTCAATGATCTTTAGATCAATTTCCATATACCCTACTACAGCATTGTGGTGGATGTACAGCTATAAAGGATTCTCTGTGATTCAAGCTCCATACAGTGTTGTGTAATGTTTAATACCTCTCAGATATTAGGAGGCATAAATTTAAACAATTTGGAACAATGATAATAGATGATTTGCATCTCAGTCTCAGGTAAACATGGTACATGAAAACCATGGGTGATCAATATATTTGTTATGGCCTCATCCCAGACCTGTTGGTTGATACTAGTGTTGGGAATTGGTTAAAATCTCATAATTGATGATTGTTTCATTACAACCGATCAATCATCGAAAATAATTGGTTAGCGCCATTTATGAAATTTGTTAATACACAAAAAAATACGGAAAAAACCATGTAGTTCTTTGGGGGTTTTTTGGCAAAATTTCACGTCTTTAAAGGATGACTAGTATGTTAGGAACATGGATTTCTTAGAGTCTTTAAGATAAATTCAATCATGACTTGGAACGAGCTTGTAGTGCTTATGAAATGTAACAGACAAAACCAACCTAGTGAAAATTACTGTTAATGAAAACAAGTGTTCCAGAATTGTATGTGTTCGATTATGAGAAAACATGATCGATTGCTTGGTCGTTTAGTCACTACGACCAATCTTCGATTATTTCAATTAATCGGACCACCACTAGTTGATGCAATGTTCCTTTCATTCATGGAAAACATCTAATAACAATTTTAAAAAACACGATTCCACAGCTTTTCAGGCCACTGCAGACAATGAATCATGATGCTAATGTTACCATGGTTACAAAGTACTATTTCAACACATCACACAACATTAACAAATGACAAATACTTCACATTAATACAATGGTGACAAGAGCTGAGTATGTTCGAGAAAACTATGAAAATGAATATTTAAAATACATGATGATGACTGGTAATGCTGGTGTTAAAAATATCTGACAGCTTGAGAAATCTATTTCACTGACAGTTTTAAAAAGATGCACACCAAATGGTCAAGCTATTATTGTATTCCCTAACTTTCCAAATCATTCTAGTTTTAATTCAATGTAAGAATTAAATTAAATGTAAATGTTAAACATATTATTCAGTCATTTCCGTGTATTTTGATTCAGGCAGAAATGCCTCATTCATGGATACCTGCACTTGATTCAGAGATGGAATTTGATTGATAATACTTGAACAAGTAAACTTACTAAGTTGACAATCCACCAGATGGCTGGTTAGTTTGCAAAGTGTCAGCGCTGTTGTGGGGAATTCTATACACAGGTTGTGCATACTGAAATTCAATTTAAAAAACTTGAGGTCTTTTTGAAAGACAATTACTATGTAATATTATGATTGTCAAATTCATATTGTAAACAAAGTATTTAAATTCAATGAACAGAATGATACTGTTTCAACTGTCAATTGCAATTTTGTCCCATCATAGCTGCAGTAGAAGTAAAAGAGAGCAATGTCATGATGCTCTTGTATTGACCTTGCTCTTGTATTGACCTTTGCCCTTGTGATGACCTTCACCCAATGAATCAAACAGGTGAGATGTCATGACCCTTGCCTCTGAGATGTCTGTCCTTCACCCATCAATAACATTCACCCATTGCATCAAGAGAGTGAGACGTCACCACTCTTGCCCTTGGGTTTACTATTTCCCTGTTGATGACCTTCACCTTTTGATGACCTTCACCTGATGACAACCTTCATCTTCATGTTTGAAGGCTCTTATCAAAGCTTGCATTATGATCTCTCAACATTATCTCTTCCATCTCCCTTTCCTTCACACCATCCGTCTCTTCCGTAACACCACGCATTCGCCGGAATCGACCTTTATTGTAGAAGTCGTAGATCACCAGACTCATGACCAGGAAGTTCTTCATGATGAAAGTGGACACGTCTTGATCCAGTCGATGCCAGAGGATGAGACGCAGCGTAAACAGAGGCGTGTTGATGACAATCAACAGCAGCATCTTGTGTAACGTCTCCAGTGTTTCTGGAAGGAACTTGTACCCGAAGTGTATCCGACTTAGTCCCATTAGAGGGAGAGTCGGGATGATGAGGTTAGCACACGCAATGCAGATGATCCCCCAGTTAAGTCCTGGAAGAACTTTCAGAGCATCCACATTTTCCTTTTCAAAGAACACATCCAGCATGTCAACAGAATCTAAAATATCAAACACAACTGTCTGTGTAAGAATGTCAATGTGTTTCTGCCGTTCACTTTTCGGAGGTGCATCATGATGAGATAACAACAGCATTACGAAAACTATTGCTGAAAGAGCAACAGTGATCTTGAGAGTATTTGGACCAAAGAAATCCTTTTCATCAAGCTTCCAAGCAAAGTTTTTAAATATTATTCCAACTCGAACTGCAAGAATGATCGAGTACACTGACCAGGCGAAAAAAAGCTAGAGGGAGACTTCCTGCCCGAACTGGAGCCTGTTCGTTTGACGTACTTCTAACAAGTTGGAGATGACGGTATGATATGAGGAATGCCATGATGAACACAACGACCAGTGCTACATCTCCTGCAATCCAGGCGTACCAGTAGCTGTTGTTGTGATGGATCAGGTAGTAGTCGAGTATAGCACCCTGTAGAATAACGAGCCCAATACACAGGACACGTGTGGGGATCAGATAACAGGCATCACAACGCTTATAGGGACTCAGATCCATGGTGGTGTCAAGTCAGATCTTGCTGCAGCTCTGTAGGTTAAAAATCTCTTGAAGGGCTTATCGCCAGTCTGGTGCCATTATGTATCTGAAATGGAGTATGATGTATTTCAATTCAACATATAACTGCTAAAGTACTGTCAGAAATAGAAAAAACTGTTTTTTTCACATTGATATCTACAATTTATGTAGTTAATATGTGTAAGTGTGAAATATCTGTTAAACTAAGTTCGGCCTAACTACAGTCTCAGTGGTAGGGAGATAGGAAATGTAGAAAAAGGACTTTACTGAGGAGATTAGTGCAGAAATGAGAAATGCGGGTTTTTTTCAAAAGTCCAAATCGACTTATTCTGAACAGGCCATGGCTTTATGCAAATTAGTGTGCGATGAGATTATATTACAAATGACAATTCTTAAATGTCCATTTTGAAATTTAACTTAGCTTCATTATAAAGGATAGCTGACGTAAAAAATAATAACTTTAATACTGAAACTATGAAGGATGTCGCTGCCATGGAGTCTCACTATCACTATAAAAAGAAACAGGTAGGAGGGGTCGTCTCAAAAGCAAATCCAGGACGGCTGTCACAGACAGTGATTGGGGTCGGGCTGGGGGATAGAGATATAAGCTGAGATAAGATAATCCTTTAGGGGAATTAAACAGCATGTCATAACAATTTACAATAATATCCAGTCCTGTCAATCTTCGGGTGGTCATGCCACCTATATATTTTGAGACATTTAATACGATGGCTTTTACGTATCTCAACATAAACTTTATGATCAATAAATGAGACATATTCAACACACATGAAAAGCATAAAATATCTTTGAGATGACCCCTTGTGCTTGTAGGCAGGACGAGCATTTCATGCCAGGTGTGAGTCGACGGCCTGTCGTCATACCTGGCTGAGCGTCTTAAGTGTCATCTATAGTCCGATCTATTGTTTTGAACAGCTATTCATATTTAATCTACGTTTTGCCCGATTTTACGAGTAAACAAGATTTTCTGGATATACTATTACGCATCCCACTGAATGCCCAGTTAGGCCGATGTGGGTTATTTCGATATATGCTATGCTAAATTTGTCAATTTTAGGGATACAAAGTAACAGCCTAAAAACAGTTTTTTTTCTATTTCCGACAGTACTTTAGTTACCGGAATGACCTTTGTCATAAAGTAAAGTGTAACAAGGTTAATAGGCAAACTTCCTCCATAAAAACAAATCTATATGAATGGGTTGAAAATTTTTAGAAACAGATTTATAAAATTTTTACGTTTAACAATGTCTAAATATAGACAAAATTAAATGTACAACCAAACATTGTTTCATTGAACTGATATGTAGATCCTGCGGTTGTTTTGAAGTGAAGGCTTCATCCTGTGTATTCCTTCTTTAGTCATCAGTTTGCATTAGTGCAGAACCTGGGATTACTCGAAGTATTTACATAGGTCCTATCAGTTTCAACACACCAGTGTTTGACTGTATAATCTGAATATTGGGATGTTGCGTTACTACACAAGTATCACTCTGGGGATATTCAAATGTACCATATAATAAAATTCTGCTTGAAAGACATTGTAGTCACACTAAAAATATTTCAAACTTTTGAATACATTAAGACAAAAATACCCATAAACTAAAAAGATGGGTTGTCATGGCTATGATTTTCTGATTATCCTGATTATGCCAGTGTATATCATGATATAAACACTGATATTTATTATGATTATGCCAGTGTACATCATGATATAAAACACTAGGGGTGACTATTGAGGTCTATGGAACTATTGAGATATCGATAGACTATTGCATGCCACTATTGCGATGTCGATAAACTATTGCAAGCTACTATTGCTATGTCGATAGTCTATTGCATGCTACTATTGCGATGTCGATAGACTATTGCAAGCTACTATTGCGATGTTGATAGTCTATTGCATGCTACTATTGCGATGTCGATAGACTATTGCAAGCTACTATTGCGATGTTGATAGTCTATTGCAAGCTACTATTGCGATGTCGATAGTCTATTGCATGCTACTATTGCGATGTCGATAGTCTATTGCAAGCTACTATTGCGATGTCGATAGTCTATTGCATGCTACTATTGCGATGTCGATAGACTATTGCATGCTACTATTGCGATGTCGATAGACTATTGCAAGCTACTATTGCGATGTCGATAGACTATTGCATGCTACTATTGCGATGTCGATAGACTATTGCATGCTACTATGCTACTATTGCGATGTCGATAGACTATTGCATGCTACTATTGCGATGTTGATAGTCTATTGCAAGCTACTATTGCGATGTCGATAGTCTATTGCATGCTACTATTGCGATGTCGATAGTCTATTGCAAGCTACTATTGCGATGTCGATAGTCTATTGCATGCTACTATTGCGATGTCGATAGACTATTGCATGCTACTATTGCGATGTCGATAGACTATTGCATGCTACTATTGTGATGTCGATAGTCTATTGCAAGCTACTATTGCGATGTCGATAGTCTATTGCATGCTACTATTGCTATGTCGATAGACTATTGCATGCTACCATTGCGATGTCGATAGTCTATTGCATGCTACTATTGCGATGTCGATAGACTATTGCAAGCTACTATTGCGATGTCGATAGACTATTGCATGCTACTATTGCGATGTCGATAGACTATTGCATGCTACTATTGCGATGTCGATAGACTATTGCATGCTACTATTGCGATGTCGATAGAGTATTGCATGCTTCTATTGCGATGTTGATAGTCTATTGTATGCTACTATTGCTATGTCGATAGACTATTGCATGCTACTATTGCGATGTTGATAGTCTATTGCATGCTACTATTGCGATGTCGATAGTCTATTGCAAGCTACTATTGCGATGTCGACAGTCTATTGCATGCTACTATTGCGATGTCGATAGACTATTGCATGCTACTATTGCGATGTCGATAGACTATTGCATGCTACTATTGTGATGTCGATAGTCTATTGCAAGCTACTATTGCGATGTCGATAGTCTATTGCATGCTACTATTGCTATGTCGATAGACTATTGCATGCTACTATTGCGATGTCGATAGTCTATTGCATGCTACTATTGCGATGTCGATAGACTATTGCAAGCTACTATTGCGATGTCGATAGACTATTGCATGCTACTATTGCGATGTCGATAGACTATTGCATGCTACTATTGCGATGTCGATAGACTATTGCATGCTACTATTGCGATGTCGATAGACTATTGCATGCTACTATTGCGATGTCGATAGAGTATTGCATGCTACTATTGCGATGTTGATAGTCTATTGTATGCTACTATTGCTATGTCGATAGACTATTGCATGCTACTATTGCGATGTTGATAGTCTATTGCATGCTACTATTGCGATGTCGATAGACTATTGCATGCTACTATTGCGATGTTGATAGTCTATTGCATGCTACTATTGCGATGTCGATAGACTATTGCATGCTACTATTGCGATGTTGATAGTCTATTGTATGCTACTATTGCGATGTCGATAGACTATTGCATGCTACTATTGCGATGTCGATAGACTATTGCATGCTACTATTGCGATGTTGATAGTCTATTGCATGCTACTATTGCGATGTCGATAGACTATTGCATGCTACTATTGCGATGTTGATAGTCTATTGCATGCTACTATTGCGATGTCGATAGACTATTGCAAGCTACTATTGCGATGTTGATAGTCTATTGTATGCTACTATTGCTATGTCGATAGACTATTGCATGCTACTATTGCGATGTTGATAGTCTATTGCATGCTACTATTGCGATGTCGATAGTCTATTGCACGCTACTATCGCAATGTCGATAGTCTATTGCATGCTACTATTGCGATGTCGATAGTCTATTGCATGCTACTATTGCCATGTCGATAGACTATTGCATGCTACTATTGCGATGTCGATAGACTATTGCATGCTACTATTGCGATGTCGATAGACTATTGCATGCTACTATTGCGATGTCGATAGACTATTGCATGCTACTATTGCGATGTTGATAGTCTATTGCATGCTACTATTGCGATGTCGATAGTCTATTGCACGCTACTATTGCGATGTCGATAGACTATTGCATGCTACTATTGCGATGTCGATAGACTATTGCATGCTACTATTAGCGATGTCGATAGACTATTGCATGCTACATTGCTACTATTATTGCGATGTTGATAGACTATTGCATGCTACTATTGCGATGTTGATAGACTATTGCAAGCTACTATTGCGATGTTGATAGTCTATTGCATGCTACTATTGCTATGTCGATAGACTATTGCATGCTACTATTGCGATGTCGATAGACTATTGCATGCTACTATTGCGATGTCGATAGACTATTGCATGCTACTATTGCGATGTCGATAGACTATTGCATGCTACTATTGCGATGTCGATAGACTATTGCATGCTACTATTGAGATGTCGATAGACTATTGCATGCTACTATTGCGATAACTATTGCGATTGTCCAGACAAAATTCAAATTTCAGATATATTGCCATTTTCTACCAACTTCTTCTACATTAAACTACTTAAACCATAAAATGCCTTCAGTTCCTTACAACTTTCAGGTCAGTATTGGTCAAGTTGTCATGATGACTTCTTCATGAACATGACTTAGTTATTAAAACATTCTACAACAAGCCAACACATTCACATAGGATTTAATACTATTTATTACAAAACTGTGGTTTGCAGACTCTTTGATCCCTGCAACTTTGTATGTAAAACAACATAGAAAAAAATAAAGAATAAATACTGGCTCTGTGGCTCGGTCACATTTTAGACAAATGGTCACCTTTCAGTTTCAATAGAAAACACTTACTGTGTGTAATGGTTGAAAATTAAACAGTTCGCAGGTAGATATGTTTTAGTTTTAACAACATGAAGATGAAAAAATATATCCAATGCACTGAACAGTCAACAGACTCAACAGATTTAAAGAAGACAATAATCTTTTGTCACTAAAAGTATCAAGAAATCTCACAAATAAACCTGTCAGCAGATAACTTGGTGACTCAAGTTGAAAGATAGGTTAACATAATTGGCAAATGGCAATATTTCACATTAACTCTGATTTTACTCAAATAGTGTGATGAAGGCAGATAATAGTTTATTTTTTATCTTGGTTTCCAACTTTCCAATTCTTCTTTAGAAACAAGAGTCCATGGGCGGATCCAGGAATTTTGAAAAGAGAGGGTTCAGGGGGGTCGAACCCCCTGAACCCCCCCATTGGCTCTGCCAATGCCAAAAAATCGTCAATGTGATCTTAAGTCATTTTCAAAAAGTGGGTGTGTGTGTGTGTGTTTTGAACCCCCGCTATGGATCCGCCACTGAGAGTCTGTCCACATGTGCAGATTTAAGAATCTGCTAGTCCATCCATCAGTTGTGAGTGAAACATTCTCAGCACAGGAAAGGTCATTCCTGACCTCAGTTTTAACAGTCTCATACAACATGGGCAAGGCAGAATCTGAGAAATACTGTCGCGAGGGGGTTGTGTAACTCTACATGCCGCTGTTATCACTGCAAAATGCTGTCGCTTACAGCAAATAGAGATTAATCCCAATCGGGGGTGGGACTGTAGGACAGAACATGTTTTCAAGTTACCATTATTTATAAAACAAACGAAAGCGATAGTCATTGGATCGTCATTTCATACACCTATCGATAAAGTACTATTGGGGGGCTCACAATCGGGATCAATCGATAGTTTGATGCATCGTTACACCCTTATTAAACACTGTTATTTATCAGTGTTTATTTACATGATTATGTCAATGTATATCATGATATGACCACTGATATTTATCATGATTATGTCATATATATCATGATATAACCACTGATATTTATCATTATGTCAATTTATATCATGATATAAACACTGATATTTATCATGATTATGTCAATGTATATCATGATATAACCACTGATATTTATCATGATTATGTCAATGTATATCATGATATAACCACTGATATTTATGATGTCAATGTATATCATGATATAACCACTGATATTTATCATGATTATGTTAATGTATATCATGATATAACCACTGATATTTATCATGATTATGTCCATGTATATCATGATATAACCACTGATATTTATCATGATTATGTAATTGTATATCATGATATAACCACTGATATTTATCGTGATTATGTCAATGTATATCATGATATAACCACTGATATTTATCATGATTATGTCAATTTATATCATGATATAAACACTGATATTTATCATTATGTCAATTTATATCATGATATAACCACTGACATTTATCATGATTATGTCAATGTATATCATGATATAACCACTGATATTTATCATGATTATGTCAATGTATATCATGATATAACCACTGATATTTATCATGATTATGTCAATGTATATCATGATATAACCACTGATATTTATCATTATGTCAATTTATATCATGATATAAACACTGATATTTATCATGATTATGTCAATGTATATCATGATATAACCACTGATATTTATCATGATTATGTCAATGTATATCATGATATAACCACTGATATTTATCATGATTATGTCAATGTATATCATGATATAACCACTGATATTTATCATGATTATGTCAATGTATATCATGATATAACCACTGATATTTATCATGATTATGTAATTGTATATCATGATATAACCACTGATATTTATCGTGATTATGTCAATGTATATCATGATATAAACACTGATATTTATCATGATTATGTCAATGTATATCATGATATAAACACTGATATTTATTATGATTATGCAGCAATATTTGAGAAACGTGAAAGTTGACACTACATAATCACGTCTGAACCCGACAATCCAGTGACTGAGACTGGATAGTTGATCCATGAAGTCATATCTGTTGACCAGAAAGGGCTGCTGGGCATTTGTCCTCCATGGAGAACAGTGAATGTGCTCATGATCATGGTAACGTATAAATAATCAAGTCTGGCACAAATTTAGATAAATTACATCTTTGCATACAAACATGCACAAAAACAACCCCCCTAAAAACTTCACCCCTACACAATGACACTATGAGTAATTACCCATGTAGCCCTCCAGTTTACATATCTGTATCTCTGTACAGATCTTGGTATATAAACAACTGATCTTGTGCAGGCATCAAGTACATGTGAGTTACATGACTACAGAAAGTGCTACGTATCACGTACCAGGTATTGTCACTCTGACATGAGATGCTGGTTGGGAGTTGATGTGATGTGTTGCAGACTGGGGTCATTACATGGCCAGTTGTACACTAGAGGTTATCTGAAACAGCATTTAAAGCGGAACAAGGTCAAGAAGACAGGTTACAAATTACCCAACTAATTAAAAAAAGACAGCATAAACATGATTAAAAATACTGACTTCCTTAAAGTGAGTGAGTTTAGTTTTATGCCGCACTCAGCAATATTCCAGCTATGACTGACTGACTGACTGAGTTTGGTTTTACGACGCTTTTAGCAATATTCCAGCAACATCACGGCGGGGGACACCAGAAATGGGCTTCACACATTGTATGTGGGGATTCGAACCCGGATCTTCAGCGTGACGAGCCAACGCTTTAACCATTAGGCTACCCCACCGCCCCTCCAGCTATGAATAAACAAAGGGAATAAGTGAGTGAGTGAGTTCAGTTTTACACTGCTTTTAGCAATTAGGCCAAATAAGAAAAATGTTGTGTTCCCATTACACCTCTTTAAAATTTAGGGATGGTAGGTAGGATATTTTAAAAAAAAATTCTTTTAGAAGCAAAGTACAAACTAACAACACATTTATCAATGTGTAATTGTTTATTCAAGCAAACTTGCGGCCATCATGTCGACTTTCTCTATCAGAATGACTGACAGATGTCTGTTGGTGCCTGAAGAAAACAATGGTATCTGAAAGCTTATTTCATTCATACTGCTTAAAAAAAATAGGGTCATCACCAGAATTCAAGTCAACATATTTTTTCAGGCCTATTCCAGCAACATGACAGCTTAACACATTGTACCCATGTGGGGAATCAAACACGTATCTTCAGTGTGACGAGCGAACGCACTAACCCACTGCCAACCCCAAAGAGAATAGTGAGTGAGTCTAGTTTTACGCCGCTTTAAGAAATATTGCAGCAATATCCCAGCGGGGGACACCAGAAATGGGCTTCACACATTGTACCCATTTGGAGAATCAAATCCAGGTCTTCGACATGCCGAGCGAACGATTTAACCACAATGCTACCCCAAGTCCCCTCCAAAGGGAATAAGAACATGTAAGAGATATATTCAATGGTTGAAGAGAGTCTCTGAAGCCCTGTTGAGGGTCAGACCACAGCAAGATCACAAGATGGCAAGATGATAAACGAGGTAATATTGTATTGCCACTCAAAGAAACACTGTGTTACATAAGCACATAGCTTTACTGACCTCTGAAAGCAGTGAGGTCATGGGAGTGATCTTCAAGGAATGTTTCATTTATTATATTAAATGCAACTTTAAAAACTTTAGATCTTGTCTTGAAGTGAGGACTTCTTGAAGGGTAATACTAACCAGGTGTGCCAAAATGTAAATAGAGCTCTTCAACAGAACCATGTAGTCACTGGGTCACTCAGACGGCCGAGTAAAGAGGAACGCTCAACTCGTGTTGCTTTTCATATTCTTTATTTTGAGAAATGTGAAATATCTAACCTAAAGCAAGCATGCAGTGTTTACGAATAGCGTCTGACCCTCTGACAAATCCGGCAGATTCGCCAATGGTCCGATAGAAGTCTACCATCCGCCGGTCCCAATGTCCGACTGTATATTTCACAATGACTTTGACCGAAGTTGTTATATGTGACATGTGACACTTGTTTGCTGTTTATAAATATTACGCTTGTTAATAATTTCAATGCCAATTATAAGAATGTTAAATCTGAAATGTGTGTTTAATTTTATTCTATGGGTCCTGTGAATTTTCAATGGGTCAGACAGACATCTGAAACTTACAGGACCCTATGTCCTGTTACTTTGAAACAGCATTCGTGAACACTGAGCATGATAATTGAATAAAGTAATTATACAGGAAGTATTTTACCTTTATTTCGGATGTTCACATATTGCATATATAATCAATGCATTTCTTGTAATCAATGCATTTCTTGTTGTAGAAGGGTAGAGAGTACATACAGGAATCTCCAGCAACTTACCTATCAAAAGAGACCACTTTAGAGCTTGCTGAGTGGTCATTGAATCCTGTGTATACAACGCACATGATATCAGTGCTTAGATTGTTGACTTGAGTTTTTACAGATTTATTTGGAGCAGGAATATTGCTGAGTGCAGCAATAAACAACAAATAAACAGATTTCGAAGTGAGTGGTTCAAGCAAATTGTGCAAAAGAGTGAGTGAGTGAGTGAGTTTAGCCTTACGTCGCTTTTAGCAATATTCCAGCAATATCATGGCAGGGGACACCAGAAATGGGTTTTACACATTGTACCCATGTGGGGAATTGAACCCGGGTCTTCAGTGTGACGAGCGAACACCTTACCCACTAGCCTACCCCACCGCCCCTGTGCAAAACAGGGATACTTTGAAAAGTTATTGTTACTTTCAACTTAAATTTAACATGCTAGGAGAAGTACTAAAAGGCAACCTGCTTCTAACCTGGACATGTAGATTAACAGAGATAAGAGATAAGAACGGTTTACTTGCCTCAGAAAAGCTGTAAAACAATGTCTGGCCCTTATTCGACAGCCAACAGCAAAATTGTGACAGCATTACTCACACAAAGGTCACAGCACATGATCCCATATTGACCCAACAAACACATGCAGCACACATGGCAGTGATGTTTAGAGGTTCACAGATTCTGACCTGGAAGACAACTGGTCCCTGTACAACTGCTTCCTTGTGGCTTTTTCTCAACTTCCTGCTTTCTCAATAAATGTCACTATGACCTAGTGACCTCTGACATGTTATTGATTACATGGTTGTCAATTACCAGACTGGAGCATGTGTTTCCAGGGATTTATCGTGGATTAAAAACTTCAGTAATTTCAGTGTCTGGGCATTGGGGAAAAGCTATCATTTTATCATGTTTGAGTATAGGCATATTTATAAGTTCATATTTTCCAAATTTCAGTGTTGATTAACATTTCATTTCAGGAGACATGCCATGAATCATAGGAAAGAGGAAAATCAGATTTCTGTTTTAAGACATGACAACAGTGGTCTCAACTCAGCTGAGGCTAATCAAACTTAATCTTGATATTATGATTACATGATCAACCCAATAAAATGCTTTACACTCTCACGTCTTTTTCCACAACTAGTTAACTTGAATGACATTTGCTCCAACTTGTTATGATAAAGTGATAGTCACAAAATTGCACTTACTGTCTATGCCAATTTCCCACAAGATAAAATAAGGAGGGGTGAAATGGTATGCTCTTACCACTGTACAGTACGTATTGCGGTACAAGGCCTTCGGTTCTGTCAGTTTCGGTTCGGTATATGAGATCATAATGCAGAAATTGAATCTAGCAAAGAAATGCATAGATTTTGACAAAATGATTCAATTTCTAGGCTTTTAGAAAAGGTTTAAAATGGTTAATAAAATGATAATACGAAAACCGAAGATACAGAATTCATTTACAGCATTACCGTGTACCTAACCGAAGACAAGATACTGTGGTTCTACAAATACTGCAGTATACTGTTTCACCCCTATAGTATGTCATGAAATCATACATCACACGATTTAAGGGTGACAATGAACACAACATTCAGTTCAGCTTTTTAATCCTTGTTGTAATATTGGAACCTGAGATTTAAAAATAAAAAGATTGAGCAAAATGTCTAGAACTATATAAAGTTATCAAACTTGTTCATGTGTTATCAAATCAAATCAAGGATTTCAATAGCTCATTTTCCTAACAACTGCTTATATTTGCTAACACCAGGATTGATATGGTCAAAACACCTTTGACATGTTTGAAAAGACAGGCCTTGAGTGTTGCTTCAATGTTTGTGAGATTTTCTGCTTCTCCATTTGTGACAGATTGTTCCATACCAGTGAACCAGCATGTTGAAATGACCTATCATCATCTGTTTTGGTAGACTAGGGTATTACCAGCACATTAGTTGGTTTCACATTAATTTTAGACTCGCTGTGCGCATGCGCAGAGCGTGTAAAAATATCCTCAGGCCAACTTCCGGTTTGGTCGTAAGCTTTACCAATAGTGTAAACGCACTCTTAAGAAAAATCAAAAATCAAAACAAATATATGGTTTTATGTCGAATTTAACTAATCTCAATTCATTTATGAATGGAAGGGACCGGAATTAGTTAAATAAATAGCTTAACGTTTGTTAACAAGCTCTTGTATAAACACATCTCACCACCACCCGTCCACCATCCTTCCTACACATCCCCTTCTCACAAGTAAAAAAGCACATCTCTGATGCAATGCCACCAAAATAGGATATCAATTATTGAAAAGCATAGGCAAATGGATGTATGTACTCAACTATGAACAGTTGTCACGCGTAAATAATTTGTATACAGCATTTATTTAGAGCGTGTTTACAATATCGCTAATATGACCAAACCGGAATTGACCAGTGGATATTTTTACACGCTCTACGCACGCATGCGCACAGCCGAGTCGAAAATTAATGTGAAACCAACGAATGTTGATCTATTGATCTATTCTTGTTTATGGTTTATGATGACTTAATAGTATATACAACAGAAAATATATACTGGTAATGTGTGTATACACTGTTATAAAACGGATGTATAGTCTGTTTGCAGTGAAAGCGTACCGATGAATTTCACTTTAAATGGCAAGTGTACACGAAAATTAACCTTTTTGTCTTGCACTTTTTCATCATAAAAAGTATTTATCAAGTAGTTTTATATCCAAACCCGTACATATATCAGAAGTAACTAATTTATTATTTGCGTTATATCAATTCATATTTTCAACATTTACCAAGAGTTCTATATCCACAATAAACACACTATGGCTTATGTCCCTTGGAAATGACGTCATTGGTGCCCAAACGATAAACGAATGACGTCGTCAGACCTAATTAGACCCATTTCACGTGGTGCAGGTATAGGTGTGGTTCTTGTGTCTCGATGCGCAGGCTACTGTTTTAATCCACCTGTTGCTTGGCCGTCAGCTGACTATGTGGTCAGTTCTACACTGTAATGACGTTGCAGTATACATTGTACTAAAAGTGTTACCACGTAACCAAATTGTATAACATATTCAACCTGAGTCGGTCGCCTTTCCAACAGTATCTTTTTCATGAAACCTAAAAGCGTTTATGCACTACATCTTGCTTGCCATCAGTGAATGTGCGGCATTCTACGTTTGTTACTAAAGTTCTTACATAAATCGCACGATTCATCGCACCTTCACTTTGATATCGATAGTACATATCCAAATACATCACGCAGATAAATGCAATTTGCAGTTTTGAACACTGTTTGAAATTCGTTTTCTATGATATCATCCGGCTCATTGTAGATAAAATTTACTGAAAATTACATGCATCGTAAATCTCGCCAGTTTTGACACATTACTAAATCACCATTCACTGCGTTTTTGCGTAATTTATGGTATGTCTTAATTCAAATGTCAAATTTTACTGGGAGAAAGAGCGTGATCATTGTGATCAGCGATAGTTTTGTTGTTGTATGATCGAATCACCAATGCTCGTTCTGAAACATTATCGATGAACCGAGAATCGCTGAGAATGTTTTGGAAAATACGCAAACGTCAAAGTGAATTTTCACCTATATTACATAGTGTTTATAAAATCACGTCACATGTCTATGTCGGTTATGTTTCGTCCATAAAATCAATTGTATAATTCAACACCATCTTCCTTACATGAATCCCTGAATTCCTCATACAGTTCAAAATAAACTCCCAAAGTGACTCTGTCACCAATACAAAGACGAAGTGTTTCAGTGAAATCTAACGAAATATATCGAGGATATAAGATGCCGCGCTGTGAAAGAATACTTGTTTGAAATGTATACAAAGCCAGTCTCAGATTTTACACTGTGTATCCGTTCGCCTACTTGTTGCATACAATTGCTCATTAGTTTTAGAACATGCGTGGGAAAGGTATCGTAGCAAGCGATAGTTAAATAAAATAGGTGTATTCCAATGATTTTCTAGATTCGTCACAACATATTATAGTTTTTGAAAGCATGACGCCATAACTGACGCAAACTCACGCACAACGATGACGGTACTTCTCTTAATTTATGACTGTTTCCCTTGGTCACAATAAAACAAAAGAAAATAACAAACAGCAGACTGACAGAATTTTGGACTACTTACATGTCACGTTTGCTTGAAACAACGAAAATTTCCTCGAAAACTCCGGCGTACTCATGTCAGTGAACACGCCATTTTGAAAAAGTCGCTTCCCGATAGTGATGTCATACGGACGTCAACATTGTTATACATATTTGGTATTTTCATTGAGGCGAAGTTTATGAATGAAAATACACCACGATCAATCCGTCCTGCTGCTTACATTTTCTGTTCTTATGCTTCTTCAGTATTTTCACAAACTTTTTTTTTACGTGATTAATATCAGTATTGTTATCTTTTGATTTGGGACTAGACAGGAGACCAGTTTAAAATCAAGTGGCACCAATTACGTCATAATCAAAGGGCGGTAACTCTGGCCTGTTTAGCTCGGCAAACAAATACCTCATATTGGCATAACATTTCAGCACTTATTTTGAGGGTTATACTTACATTGTAAGAAAAATGAGTGTATATTTTCAAACATTGGTATTAACTAATTAAAACAGTTCACTTTGATTCACATAAGAATAAATGTGATTTATTCGTGTACACTTCCCCTTTAAGCAAAAAAGTAAATCAAATAAAGTGAAATTAAGATTGCGAATCCTCATAATTTTACCTTGCCAATTGAACATTTAAATCTCAGAATTTTATTCAACTTAGGATAAAAGTTGTTTAACAAACGATCATAGATTCAAATCGATATTACTGGTTTGTATTACAAGGGGGTAAGCGCTGTAGTTGGAACAGTGAAACAAACACATGTGCGGTACATGAAGAGTGTTAACTTAGAACAACCCTTGTCGTTCTCGGTGTTTCATTTGATATGCATACTCCCTTGTAATACAAGATCATAAACTTTATATTTCAAACATTATTCTGTCTGAATTTTGTAGCTTCTTGTAGTATTCATTTCTCCTAGTGCCATGTTGATGATACAGAAATAGTCTCACCTAAGACAATATTATTTGTTAATTAAGGAAAAGAGTTTTCTTCTGTATCTTACATATGACGTGATTAACCCCGAACCGGCCACTGATATTTGACCCAAACCGGCCCTTGATATTTGACCCATAATACGATGCAAAATGTAAATACTAGATCACACTGATACGAAGCACTGATTCAGTAATTGGCTTCAACTTGGTTTGCTTGTTGTTCAAGCCTGAACAATCTTCTAGATAGCTTAATGACAGCATTCTGTAAATAACTGAACTGACTCTGGATAAGACAATCTAGTGATTGAAATTGAGCATCAGTCTATTTAACTGAGATACGATCAACCAAGTCAACGAGCTTGACCACTCCTCTTGTCAGCACTGCTGACGGAATGCTGAAGACCAATTCTTTCACGAATCTTCATGGCTATGGGTTCTACTTATTCAATCCCTGTGTTGTCATATGGCATATCATTTATGTATTATAACGAGGGGATGTTCAAGTTTCGCTGAGTGACCTAATCATAATCACAAAAATTACCCATGGCCAAATCAGAACACATATCCGCTCTTTGTCGATTTATTTCCAGATGATGACCGATGTAATTTGTAAATGACCAGCTGTTGACCTATCAAACCGTGAATAAGCTGAAAAAAGACACCAAATCATAACACCATTACAACATAATACTTACGTTTCCACAGATGGCTTCCTGTTATTCCATAGCGACCTTGAACGCATGTTGGAGAGATTGTTTGCTAATATTAGATAACATTGTTTTGAGTTTCCGCGCTAAAAATAACATGTTTTTGGAAGTAATATTATCTTGCCGACTAGCTCTGTTGCTATTCAGTTTTAGGGGAGTCTGTTGTACATACACCACAATCTTTCGTCGTTTTCTTAACTGTCGCGAAAATTAGAAATATAACACTGTCTTAGCTGGACTGGTCCAAAGAGTATATATAATGGACCTAGTGACGAGTGAAAGTCATTTGACTCAAACCCGAGTACAATATTATGGTACACATCCTAGAAATCCGACGTGTTGAAATTGAAGTGCACTCTTTCACCAACCTTTACTTGATTTATTACTAAATATGTTCATGTTAGCCATTAGCACACATGTGGTTATAAGACGATGAAGAAAAGAACACTCGCCCCTGGGGCAGAAAATGTATTCAGTGTCAAAATTACAAATTTTAGTTGAGCCTCAAGTGACAATTAATAAACGTTCAGTGATAACGAGACATGTATGCTAAATATCACAACCCAAGGAACAATGTACCACCAACATATATGCGGGTTATAAATGAAAAGAACAAGAATCCATGTTTTGTGTAATATTGGAATTATATGGAAACATGTATTGATAACAAATGAGTGAATGATTCATAAAATTGATACATTGGGATAATTTTGCTGGTAGGTATTATAAATACATTGTTAGAATAGTACTTGAAAATATATTTCTTACATAATGGGGGCGGTGGGGTAGCCTAGTGGTTAAAGCATTTGCTCGTCACGCCGAAAACCCGGGTTCGATTCCCCACATGGGTACAATGTGTGAAGCCCATTTCTGGTGTCCCCGCCGTGATATTGCTAGAATACTGCTAAAAGCGGCGTAAAACTAAACTCACTCACTCACACATAATGATATGTTTCTATGTTCCTATTCATTTTTGTCACATACTATTTGCCTTACGTTGTGAAAAAGTATGCAATCTAAGTTATCTTTTATCCGTTGTATCGTATTATTGAGTGAGTTGGGTTTTACGCCGCTTTTAGCAATATTCCAGCAATATCACGGCGGGGGAAACCAGAAATGGGCTTCACACATTGTACCAATGTGGGGAATCGAACCCGGGTCTTCAGCGCGACCAGCAAACGCCTTAACCACTAAGCTACCCCACCGCCCCCGTACCGTATTAGATTCGTGGTCGAAACAGATATAAAAATACAATTTTATCAAAATATTACCTAGGAGATATGTATCTGTTGGTTGATATAAACATTAGTACAATTGTTTTGAACAATCTAAGTTTGTTCCTAAATGTATTAAAGAAAAAGAACTGAATAACGAGTTTTAAGATCGTTTCATCTCTAATACAGGTTATTAAATTAAAGGTACAGATTAATTGGAGATTTAGATACAGCAAGTATTGCTTGCAAATATTTTCTGTAATTCAATGCTGGGAGATCATTTGTTTAATTCTTGTCACGAATAAAAAGTTTGAAGGACGTTTTAACAACATGCATGAAGTGATAGTTATAACTGCCCATACTATGTACCTTTTTCACTGTGAGTTGATTTTATCATATGTTTAATTTCTAACTGAAAACATCTTATGTAGGAAATAATGTATCCAAACATGAACAGTACAGCACTCCAAGAATACTTCAAAATGGTTGAATCGTTCAACATGTTGTTTGATTTAAATCTTTAAAATCTAATTCTTGCATTATACCCAGCTGCTGAAAGCTATCTTAGAAATCTTTGAAAATCAATTAATGTTCTTCCATAGGCACAAATTTACTACATGTCAGTCATGATTTATCACTTGTGATTGTAACTTCATTCCTTATCCCAGCCTTTAATGAACCAAAATAGTTTTCTTTAAAATTACCCAGCAACAGATTATCTTTTACAAACTGATGCAAGAATGAGTGACTATCAAACAGAAACGATCGAATTCTTTCAGTTACATAAAGACGTAATTTCATTTACACTTGAATGCTTTACAATAAAACAAGAGCGTCAGACATAAAAATGATTAACAAAATTAAAATGTTGCTTTTCATATACTCACCGAATAAATATTCTTAGAGTTTCACTACTGTCAAACATATTCGATTCTGGGCGATACACGAAAACCCTGTCTGAAGAAGAGTTCGCCTGAGTGTCTAGTTGATGCAATCTGCGTTTATTAGTTTTCATGCAATAGTATCTTAACCTATTGCAGTTTCGTACACATAGAAGGTGTTAATTAGGCTGAAGGATCAACATAAACCTGAAAATAAATATAATGCATTAATGTAGTGTTATCATGCTGTATACGATTTGCAGATATATGCGCAATTACCTAATATTGTGTCATCGCAAGCTCAGATATACAGACAACCTAGACATGAAAGATACATAGCAGGTGCATGTATGGATAATCGAGTTGAAAACATGGCGGAAGGTTGCGATAGCCAGCCTGAAACACCCGTCTGGAGCAAAGACATATTTTGCAGGTGAAACTTTTGAAGGGGAAGGCAATCATGTGCCAATGTCATGTTCATATATAGAACACGACTTTTTGTGTTAATTCAGGGAAAGGGCTTTCTTTCACTGAGAAATTGTTATTGAGCCGCGTGCCCTTTGCTTGAACCATTGGATCTGGTCTAAAAATAATTTCATGTTTTCATCACCAGGGTGCAATGAATGTGGCAACACCATAGGCATATTGCATTTATCAGAGATATTATAATAAGACCATACTATTTTGAAGTCACGCACTGAAAGAAATGGTTCACATTTGTTTGCAATGAACTCGCGAAAAGCCGCGAGTCCGGGACAACTGCCCGATCAGCTGATTAGCTAAAGATAGGTAGGGAAACTGTATTTGTTCATATCCGTTGAGTACTTTGTGGGATACGATTGCCAGTATAGCATCCGAGCCAGCTAAACACAAGTACCAAGTCTCCATTCATATACTATTGCGATTCACTAATATTAATTTTTGGTTGTGTATGTTGACATGCACATATTATTTTTGCAGACAAGTTATTTTTTTTATACTTTACTTTGGAAATTGATTGTGTTGATATTTTTTTATTAATTTCTATGAATTGTCAACCCCAATTGACAAATAGTTTTACAGAATTGCCAGGATCTCAGTCATGTTATTGAAAGTGAAAACCATTAAAGGGAGATTTCCAATGATCTGGAGATCCGTTACAGTTTGAACCTAGGATTTGATGAATAAACTAAAGCCCTGTATGAAATCTAGATATTGTCTCAGTGTAATAGAGATAATCAATATAGTTACTGATATAAATCAAAAGGTGTTAATTTGCACCCTTTCCAGACCAATACAAATTTGGAAGAAATGCAATGCCTCTTAGTAGTCTTACATATAGAACTATATGTGTGACTAAGTGAGGTGAGATCGATGATAAAGTGGTACATATAAAGTAGGGGTAACTATTGAGGGGGAAACATTTTTAACTATTGTGATAGTGATAGTCTATTGCAACCAAATTATATTGCAATACTATTGAAAAAGGTTTTTCTCCTTGAATTGTCTCATTTGAAGTCATTTCCCCAATGAATGTATAGTTTGTATGAAATAAAAACAGGCTGAAGTAGTTTCTGTCCCTTTAAATAACTGACAAGACACTTGAAACCCAGATCAAGTAAACAGTCATGTTTGTTTAAGAGGTAACGGGTGGAAAACTAAAAAAACAATGTGAACGAATCTGGTACATCCTGTATTTTGTGCTGTGCATTTCTCAATGGAAGACAATCACTAAATTATCAATAGTCACAAATACTATCGATGCGTTGATAGTGTTTTTTTTCTACCATCTATAAATTGCTATCTGAGACTCAACAATTGCAATCCATCGATAGTTCGATGCATCGTCACAGCCCCAATATAAAGGATGAAAATTTATGGATGTCAGCCTCTATGATATGAGGAACATGACATTTCAGCGTGTATTCTTACTCCTTCATCAGAATAATAGACCTTGTATGATTGTTAGGGGAAACATGTATTGTAATACATAGCGTGTTACGCATACTGAAGAAATATTCATCATAAGCATGATGAAGAGAATTAATTGTTTTTATTTATTCAACATATTTCTTCTATGATACAAGGGCTTGTAAAATCCATGTTTCAAAATATTCTTTTTCCTATCTTTATGAACAATAGAACTGGGACATTTTCATGAGTAGCTGTTTAATAATATTTTACTTTGCATTCAGCTTTTATTTTTAGATTATTTGGGGGGTGTTGTCATGGGTATCATTACAAATACAGTAAACTATGTTTATAATGAACTAGTTTATAACAAACTGATGGATATAACAAACATTTCTGTGTTTGATCCTAACCACTGGCTGTACATTTTGTCAAAATGCTTAGTTTTAACAAAACTTGGTTACATAAAACTAAAACTAGTGTTCACTTTGAATTTGTTATAACTATAACTATATCTTATTGTATTATGTTAACATAGGTTTCATAATAATCCACATTAGTCGAGCACATAGAAGGATATACTCAGAGGCCAATATTGAGCCCATGTCTGCAGAAAATGTCAGAACCAATCATCAAAATTTGAATTTTTGTTCATGACAGTGTGCATGCATCTATGTGATTGGCAGTGATTGAGATGTTTGTTTTGACTAGGTACTATCTCCATGGTGTGTGTCGTGAAGGCGATAGTTGCCGCTACTCCCATGACCGTTCCGCCCAAGCCTCCATGGTATGCCGCTTCTATCTCAAGGGCAACTGCACATATGGAGACAAATGCAGGTGAGCAGAAAACCATATAACAAACTACAATGAGGAATATCCTGTATAAACCAGTGTATTATATCTCCATGCAGGTGTGGTAAATATCCTGGTTCTGTTTGCTTCCTTTAGCTTCTTTCAGACTGCCATCTCTTTTATAGGTAACTTCTCCCCAAATGTTTCATTCTCAGTGGTGAAATTAGATTGGATGGCTATTTTGAGTTCCTCATGTTTTGTATGAGCCTTAAAACAAACTGGGTTTTATGTTGGTTGTTTAATCTTCACTTGGTCTTTATCAACCTTATTCAGCTTTGCTATGCTGAGTTGTGTCATGAGAGGCGACTAACGGGATCTGGTGGTCCGACTCGCTGATTTGGTTGACACATGTGATGTGCATTCAGGTCTCTGTGGCTGCACATAAGCTGATTTTATAGTGCTAGCCAACCCTTGAAGATCCAGGTTAGAACTGGTCTTTAGCAACCCATGCCTGTCACAAAAGGTGACTAACGGGATCGGGTGGTCAGGCTCGCTGATTAAGTAGACATCAATTAAGTGTCATCAATTGCATAGATCGATGCTCATGCTGTTGATCACTGGTTTGTCTGGTCCAGACTCCATTATTTACAGATTGCTGCCACATAGCTGGAATATTGCTGAGTGCAGTGTAAAACTAAAATTGCTCACTCACTCAGTTGTGTCCCTTAAAATCACCAGGACCCCAGATTTGCCGTTGTTATGACGATACAGCTCTTGGCCACACCTAAGTAGCAAAGAGTAGATGATTTATCAGAATTACTTTGAACAAACTATCTGTTAAAAGCAGCTCTACTTTGGCAGTACAGTATGTTTATCTTAAGTTTACCCCCGCCGTGATGTTGCAGGAATATTGCTAAAAGCGGTTTATAAAAAAGCGGCGTAAAACCACACTCAGTCAGTCAGTAAGTAGTTGCTTATGTTTCAACACCAGAAATGTCACTCATGTAAACTTTGATGAAAATGTTTGAAAAAAATGTACCAACATTGTGAAGCTGCAATCTATTGTGGTGTGTATTCATTAGTATTTCAAATCATGTGATACCAGGCATGTGTTGCTATGGTAATCATAGTTTGTAGTTTGTACTTGAAACGACGTATGACTTTTTCAGATATGACCACGTAAAACCACAAAAAGATGTCTCAAAACACCAACCTTCCAACAAGATCTCATCAAATGACGTAAATCCCAAGTCAGCTGTAAGCAACTCACAGTCACACAAGCCCCCGCCATTCAGCAGCTGTTGTAACGCCGACTTCAAGAGTAACATGGTGTCCCTAAAGAAGGGCGTGGCGCCAAGTCCTCAGCCTCAGGTGACCTTATCCTCCCTGGGGAAGCCAGCAGAGGAGTGGGTCAAGGCTAAAGAATTTGTCCCAGGACAGCCCTATGAGGGTGCAGGTGAGGTTCAACCCCAGCTGAATTCATCTAGGGCAACTGACCGATAGTCTGTTTGCCTATCCTAGATTTACGAGACTCTCACCTTGGTTTGGTTGATAGAGGCTTTGCCAGGATATTGGGAAGTCAGTGGTTTAATCATCATCTGGGTCGAACCAAAATACTTCGCACTTGAAATATAGGGGATGAAATAAGGACCCGTTGGGTCAGAGTCAGTGTCCTGTGTCGGAGTTGGCTGCGCATGTTGAAAATGGGGGTGGCCTAGTGGTTGAAACATCGATTGTCACACCAATGACCCGGGTTTGATTGCCCACATGGGCACAATGTGTGAATCCCATTTCTGGTGTCTCCAGCTGTGATATTGCTGGAATATTGCTAAAGCAGCGTAAAACTAAACTCACTCACTCACTCGGTCTGTAAATAATCAGATCTGGACCAGATAATCCAGTGATTAACAGCATGAGCATCAATCTACACAATTGGGATACGATGACATGTGTCCATCAAGTGTGCTTTCCTGACCACCCGATCATGTTAGTCGCCTCTTAGAACAAGCATAGGTTGCTGAAGACCAATTCTAATCCAGATCTTCTCAGGTAGGCTAACACTATAAAACCAACTTAAGTTCTGTTCACGTTGCTGCATGAAGGAGATAACAATATTAGAATTCCCCCCCACTGATAGCGTTTAGGGAACGTTCATAATTTATGGTTAGGGGGTTACATTTTGTTGGGGGGAGGGGGTGTCAGCAATTTTGTACACACATACTAGAGGGGGGTCAGCAATTTTGTACATAAAAATATGTTTAAAAGTATGCTTAGAAATTATGGGAAGAGGAGGGGGGGGTCATTGATTTTGTACATAAATTTTGGGAGGGTCATTCATATTGTACATGCTTCTACATAAAAACCCTAGCCACAAATTATGAATGGTCCCTTATGGTGCAGTCCCAGTGCCGACCTTACGCTACTCGACCTTCTCGACCTGAAGGTCAAGTTGGGGGTCGACCTGGTTGAGTTGAAGAACGAGTAAGGTTGAATCAGATCGAGTCAGGTCAACAAGTTTTTGAAAATATTTTGACATGTCAAAAAATGTCCCCGACTTCCTCCTCTACCTTCGGTGCGAGATGGGGTCGAGAATAGGTCTAGGTAGGTCGAAAAAAGGTTGAGTTGAAGGTCGAGCTGGCCTGACATGCCGATCTGTGTTCGTCTTAGAGTCGATCTGTACTCGGCCTCGACTTGACCTTGAGTCGACCTACTCGAACTGGACTGGACTCGACCTGAAGTCAACCTATCTCGACCTCAACTCAAACTAATCGAGTCCGCGCCGACCGCATAAATGGTCGCCATCTTCCAAATTGCTTCATAAAAGCCAAACGGCAGCCAGTGGTAGCACATCATCTCCACACCAACCTGCTGCCACCCAGAGGTCCACTCTGAGCACACCACTCTCTCCAACAAAGCAGCGGAACAGGCTGGTATCTTCCCCAGCTTAGACTCCAGTGCTGCAGCAGGTATATTTCTGTACCTGCCAAGCGGTCTCTTGGACTCTACACGCACCTCAGAGGATCAGTCACATGTTCAGGACTCTCAGCAAAGACAGTGAAACTGAGAAGTAGAACTTGATACTCATATATTGTCATGAGCCCTTTATACTGACGTGAAATGTTACCTTCAGATTATGTAAATGAGTTTCCAATAAAAGATTTAACAGCTTTTTTCATCTGATTTTTTTTGGTATTTTCCATCCATTGCTAAGTGTTAATGTAAATACATCTTGTACGATTGTAATACAATTTGTTTTGTTCATCATGTATATAGTTAGTTTTCATTTTATTTTTTCACGCATTTACCAATTGTAAATAGTGTAAATAAAAAACAAACAAAAGTTCCTTTGTAAATGAAGTAGTCCTAAATAAAAGAGTACACTTTAAAGTCATTTGGATATCATCTTCTCTTGCCAACGAACAGCTCCTGTGCCCATGAAATAGTCCTTCAAATATTTCCTTTGGTTGGCGCCATCTAGTGGTAGTGCGGTAACGTTCCTCGCACACCGGTTATCCCCATCAAGCAGCTGTGTGCAGGTGCGCCACTCGCCTGGGGTGAGTGAACAGTCCTCATTCCCCTTGTCTATGAGGTTCATCTGACTGTTCCGGTTCCTCGTTCTCAGCATGTTGTGTAAAGTGACGCAGTCCAGGGTTATCTGTTCAGCTCTGTCTGCAGTGCTATTTAGGGAGCCGAGGAGGATCTGGAACCTCATAGCCAGAATCCCGAAGGTATTCTCCACCACTCGTATGGCCCGAAACAGTCTGCAAAAGTCACAAATTAAACATTTTTAGGTCAAATGCATTAAAAATTCAAAACCTTTGATATAATATTGCATACACCAAAAGATACTAAGTTATAATTTGATTTAGGTATTTATGGAAAAGAATAATTACCTGCAGTTGAAGATCTGCTGATCGGGGTCTATCTGATGCATGGAAAATGACTTCATCATCCAGGGGGCGGAGTGGAAAGGAATCGTCGCCGATGATGAAGTATGGCACACCATACAGGGAATACAAGACCATCGCCCTCCATCCGATTTCGTGAATGGTTGAAGACCATCAGCGTCTGATGCTGATCCCTTGGCCCTGACGTTGACCCATGGGAACTTGTAATCGGCATCCGCGAGTGCCAGCAAGACAATAGAGAAGAAGTACTTGTAGTAGTAGAAGAGGGACATGCTTTTGGGAGGCTTCTTGATGGGTATGTGCTTGCCGTCAAAAGCACCGGTGCAATATAGAAATTGCCACCTTTCCTTGAAAGCATGGGCGACAGTATTCCATCTGCTCTGATCCCACTCATCTGACCGATACTCAGCTTTGAAGGCGTCAAGGATGGGATTGATGTGCCTACGGCTGAGGCTTTGGCTTTGGAGGAGGGTTGGCATTCTCCAGGTCATCCACCAGTGTAAGCAGGTGCTAGGCTATCTGCACCCAAATGGTAAGCAGTCTTCGCTTCTTGGGGCTCACCATGTTTACGTAAAGGTTCCTGATGGTGATGTTACTACTTTGCACTCCTCTAATTGAATGGGTACCTGGTGAAAATGCACCCTGTAATTTATACAGTTTGGAAACCAAGGGTCTACTTGGCAGAAAAATGTAATTTCCCTCTAGAACCAGTCACTCTCCGGTTGAACACAGGTCGCGTAGAGGTCGGGCCGGTCGACTTAGGGCGAAATTAATTTGAAATTAGGTCGATATAAAGATCTAGCTGGTGGAGTACATGTCTTCTCAACTTGGCCGACCTGAGTCGATATAGGTCGACAGAAGTCGAAGTAAAATCGAACTAAGGTCTTAAAGGTCCTTACGACGTCGTTTTGAAGTCGTGAGGTCGTTGTGAGGTCGAGATACCCCCCAGGTCGAGACAGGTTGAGTAGTTTGCGAGGTCGCCACTGGGACCGCACCATTACATTCATTATCACTTCCGCTGTCATAGTTATCTCCCCTTGACCATAAACAATAGTTGCTACCCTATGCTTACAAAAAGCTGCTGAAAGGAAGCATTTTATGGGCTACACTAAGCAAGCAAACCCTTCACATAGGCAAAGCATGCAGAGCATGGGCTAAGCAAGGGCTAAGCAAGCAATGACTTCACATATTGTAAGCTACACAGAGTACGCCATGCCACATAAGACAAGCATAGGCTACACAAAGCATGCATTGGCTATGCAAAACTGCAAGTTATAGACTAAATAAGTGTAGATTTCACAAAGCTAGTACATCATAATTACACCTAGCAGGTATGTTACAGGATACACAAAACATACACTGGCAAATGGTAGCAGTCATGCTACACAGTCCAAGAACAGACTAGCACAGGCTTGACAATGCAAGCGTAGGCTATGAAAAAAGGGACCCATAAAGATCAGATTTAGAATTGGTCTTCAACAACCCTTGCTTACGACAACCCTTGTCGTAAGAGGCGACTAACAGGATTGGGTTGTCAGGCTCGCTACCTTGGTTTACACATCGTCTTCGTATTCCAATTGCGTAGATTGATGCCCATACTGATAATCACTGGATTGTCTGGTCCAGACTTGATTATTTACAGACCACCCCCATATAGCTGGAATATTGCTGAGTGTGGCATTAAACAACAAACCAACCAATCAAACTATGCTAAAAGTAAAAGGGCATAATCTCTTCACAGCCGGTAAAGGCTCCACTAAGCAATTATCGACACAAAACATGCATCCGCACCACGCAAGTGTACATTATAAACAGATCGCAAATGCCACCTTGTTCCAGTTCCAAGCTCCTATGCCAAAGCAGCCAAGGTCGGCAAGCCCGAGGAAGAAGAGACCCCAGCTGCAGATGATGATGGTGCGTATGAAGCAACAGATAACTCGAAGATGCTGTGCCCATTTGCTGCCCACGGAGAGTGTTGGTATGGTGACAACTGCGAGTACCTCCATGGCAATATCTGTGACCTTTGTGGCCTTGCTGTCCTTCACCCTGACGAACCCGACCAGCAGGAACAGCACAGGAAGGTAAGGCCCTGGGGAGTGCTGCTTGACATGGTGGTGCAGGCCGCCCACTAACAGACTCACTTATCCATATATTCCATTTTGCGTATCTTGCTTTAATAAAAAAACACACACCTAAATTCAAGTAAAAACACTTCTGAATACATGACGTTTTATGGATCACAACTTCTTTTGTATTCTTTATACGACATTTCTCCGGTAAAATAGAAAGTACGTAGTTATCCATAAACTGGTTATGTATTCATGTTCGTCAAACTTCTAAATGCCTATCAAGGACAATACAAACACTCCTTTTTACACAAATCAGTAATATTCGTTTCTTGTGACTGCAAATAACGAATTGAATTCATGAAGGGATAGCATTGGATTCATCGAATATTTGAGTGAATCTTAACAGCCCTAGCCCATACTATGATGATATGAGAAGGGCAAGGCTTGCCAAGACGCAGTAATTTGTTGTGCACAGTTCAGTCCTTTGGGTATGGCCCAAACTCATGTCAAGACCCCATGATCATGGGTTTGTCAGCCCAGAGTATGTTTCTAGGTTTGTCAGCCCAAAGTCTGTGGGTAACAGCAAAGTTGGGGCAGTGGGTTAGCTTAGTGGTTAAAGCGTTCCCATTTCTGGTGTCCTCTATTGTGATATTGACTGAATATTGCGAAAGCAGCATAAAACTAACACTCACTCACTCACACTACACCAAAGTGTCTGAGACCTATGGGGTGGGGGTGGGGTGGATGAAGTGGGGGCGTTCTTCCCATAGTAGATGGGTACAACAAGGATTGGTCGGCTCAAAGTCAGTATAATGTGTCTGAGTGGGGTATTCATGCTTAACTGTGGCATGGTATCTCAGTGAGCTAGCACTGTGAAACCAGCTGAAGTCTGGGCTGGTACAAGCAGCCACACATACACATATGACCGAAATATTCTTAAGTGCGACGTTAAACCCCATTTCACCTCACCTCACCCGTAGGCTGATATGCTTGGATATAACTGGAATACTGCTTAGAGAGGCGTTAGATCTCATTCATTGTTATGATATAACAAAATAATAGGCACCCTGATGAAGAGGCACATTTTGGGTTGTAGTTGACAACTGATCAACTGAAAAAGTCGCTTCCAGTATGTTGCATCAGGATTAGTGTGCCTATGTTGTAAATACTGATTTTGGTAGTTAAAGATGTTGATCCACTAAGATGGTGTCTCATTTTACAGGAATGTATAGAGCGCGCGCCATGAAAAGGACATGGAGTTGTCCTTCGCTATTGCTCGCAGTAAAGACAAGGCCTGCGGTATATGTATGGATGTGGTGGTGGAGAAGAATCCAGTCAGCGAGCGGCGCTTCGGGATTCTGCCCGGCTGCAACCACTGCTTCTGTCTCTCCTGTATACGCAAGTGGAGGTGTGCCAAGCAATTTGAAAATAAAATAATCAGGTAGGAATAATTTTTACAGATTCTAGTATCTGTGAAGATTTGGGTTAGAATTTGTCTTCAGTAACACATGTTTGTCGTAAGAGGCGATTAACAGGATCGGGTCGTCAGGCTCGCTGACTTGGTTGACATATGTCATCGTATTGCAATTGTGTAGATCGATGCTCAAGCTGTTGATCACTGGATTGTCTGGTGCAGACTGGATTATTTACAGACTGTTGCCATATAGCTGGAATATTGCTGAGTGCGGCATAAAACTAAACTCACTCACAGATTCTAGTATTTTTTAGTCATTTGTGTACATAGTGGGGATGATACACATGAAGACCTTAGTTAGAAATGATATTGAACAACCCATGCTTGTCACAAAAGGCAACTAACAGGATTGTGTGGACAGACACACTAGCTTGCTTGACACATGTCATTGTATCCCAGTTATATCAATGTTCATGATGTCTTTCCCTGGAATGCCTGGCCCAGACTCGATTATTTACAGAATGCCGTTAAATAGCTGGAATATTGATGAGTGTGGCATTATAAAAACAACAACAAAACAGTGTGTGGAATCTGGAGCTTCACAACTAGACAGTTACTTTTGTGAAGAATGAGGACTATTTTTAATGGATATACAACTTCTTTATTCCATATAGGCGACGTTTCCACATAGATTCTAATGTCTTGGTCAGAATCTATGTCGAAACATCGCCTATATAGAATAAAGAAGTTGTATATCCATAAAAATAGTCCTCATTCTTCATCTACCCAACTTCTAGAATGCCAATCAAAGAAGTTACTTCTGTGACTTAGCTTTTCAATCACGAAGACAAAGTTTTCATGTGCACATTTATTGCACACACTGTATGCCTGTACAGTGAGTGTTTCTTTAAGTTATACTAAATGTACTGATGGAAACATATAAGGAAAGTCATGAAAGCACAAGTGCTCCTTAATTATGCACAGATTTTCACTCACAGTATATATCAAAGTATGCAAAGAAAGAGGATATACCAACACTTGTACTTTCATGTGTTCCCATATTCGCTTCCATCAGTGTATATTCTGAATCTTCCACAGTACGGCCGGATTCAGCAGAGTTTGTTGTGACAGTCGATGGTGTAAAACGTGGTACATTTGTTGTGTTTCAGAGCATGTCCTGAGTGTCGGCTTCAGTCCGACTTTGTGACACCCAGCCAGTACTGGTACGAGACCAAAGAAGACAAAGAGAAACTAATTGAAGGTTATAAGGGAGCATTAAGGTACTGTAGGACGACAGTAGCCCTTGCATTTATTAAGAGACCTTGTTTAACGAGAGCTTGATATTTTGAATTTAGCACAAAGTATGTGCTGTAGGCATGAAAATGGTTGTAGAAATTTTAGTCTTCTTGGAACATGTCCATGGCCTTAATGATTTTGAATACAGCAAACTATGTTTATTGATGAACATGTTGATATAACAAACTGTTTGGTCGTGTCACTTGCTGTATATGTTTATGCGTTTACCGAACTGCAGTTATGACAAACTTAAATCAGGGACACTTTGAGTTCACATTGAGTAACTGTAGTTTACTGTAAGTGTTTATTGCTGCCATGTTAATCACTGACCCATCAAACATCTTGCTATGTTGGCCGTTGAATTATTCTCCCCTGTATGTAATGCTTGTTGTAAAAGTTGACGAAAGGTGGAAAGGGTGGTTCTGATTGGATGACAGCCTGGATGTCATCATGCACCAACTGCGTGGATCATCGCTTGTCTGGTGCTTTTTCTTTGACCTTTTCTCCAAGAGAATCTTGAGAGACAGAAAATCTTGAGAGTCAGAGTATCTTGAGAGACAGAGAATCTTGAGTCAGAGAATCTTGAGAGACAGAGTATCTTGACAGAGAATCTTGAGAGTCAGAGTATCTTGAGAGTCAGGGAATCTTGAGAGACAGAGAATCTTGAGAGTGAGAGTATCTTGAGAGTCAGAATATCTTGAGAGACAGAGAATCTTGAGTCAGAGAATCTTGAGAGACAGAGTATCTTGAGTCAGAGAATCTTGAGAGACAGAGAATCTTGAGTCAGAGAATCTTGAGAGTCAGAGAATCTTAACAGAATCTTGAGAGTAAGAGAATCTTGAGAGTCAGAGAATCTTGAGAGTCAGAATCTTGACAGAGAATCCTGTGAGTCAGAGAATCTTGAGTCAGAGAATCTTGAGAGTCAGAGTATCTTGAGAGTCAGGGAATCTTGAGAGTCAGAGTATCTTGTGAGTCAGAGAATCTTGAGAGTCAGAGTATCTTGTGAGTCAGAGAATCTTGAAAGTCAGAGTATCCTGTGAGTCAGAATCTTGAGAGTCAGAGAATCTTGAGAGTCAGAATCTTGAGAGACAGAGAATCTTGACAGAATCCTGTGAGTCAGGGAATCTTGAGAGTCAGAGTATCTTGAGAGTCAGGGAATCTTGAGAGTCAGAGAATCCTGTGAGTCAGAGAATCTTGAGAGTCAGAGTATCCTGTGAGTCAGAATCTTGAGAGTCAGAGAATCTTGCGAGTCAGGGAATCTTGAGAGTCAGAGAATCTTGAGAGTCAGAGTATCTTGTGAGTCAGAGAATCTTGAGAGTCAGAGTATCTTGAGAGTCAGAGTATCTTGAGAGTCAGGGAATCCTGTGAGTCAGAGAATCTTGAGAGTCAGAGTATCCTGTGAGTCAGAGAATCTTGAGAGTCAGAGTATCCTGTGAGTCAGAGAATCTTGAGAGTCAGAGAATCTTGAGAGTCAGAGTATCTTGAGAGACAGAGAATCTTGACAGAATCCTGTGAGTCAGAGAATCTTGAGAGTCAGAGTATCTTGAGAGTCAGGGAATCTTGAGAGTCAGAGAATCCTGTGAGTCAGAAAATCTTGAGAGTCAGAGTATCTTGAGAGTCAGGGAATCTTGAGAGACAGAGAATCTTGACAGAGAATCCTGTGAGTCAGAGAATCTTGAGAGTCAGAGTATATTGAGAGTCAGGGAATCTTGAGGGTCAGAGAATCCTGTGAGTCAGAGAATCTTGAGAGTCAGAGTATCTTGAGAGTCAGGGAATCTTGAGAGTCAGAGTATCTTGTGAGTCAGAGAATCTTGAGAGTCAGGGAATCTTGAGAGACAGAGAATCTTGACAGAATCTTGAGAGTCAGAGAATCCTGTGAGTCAGAGAATCTTGAGAGTCAGAGTATCTTGAGAGTCAGGGAATCTTGAGAGTCAGGGAATCTTGAGAGAATCAAGTGTTTATCATAGGTATCAACATGGGTCTATGAAAGTTGTCACTTTGTAAAACAGTAATAACCAGATGACCTGTTACTGAAGCTGTCTGTGCTTGGCGACTTATGAGAAAAAACCAAAGATTGTGCTTTTCCTGAGTATGTCATAAAACTATCCCAATGTTATCTTTCCACACAAATCTTAGTTAAAGCAGTGAACTCTTTTGGATGGAAGGAAAATAACTGGGGGTTTCCCAATGACATTGTTCAAGGAATTCCATAGATTTTTGTAACATTGCGATCATTTGTATGCAGCATCATTAGCGCTGCCACTGTCGTAAGTTTATGTTAAAGTATGGGAGTTACGATCACTTTGTGGGACAGGGACCAGGTCAATAGCAATTATAGATAAATGTATTGAAAAGTCATTGCATTTTCAACTTCAAGAGTGTAGTTCATTTGCTCTGGAATGAATCCTTTTATACCCAAATTGACTGTTACTTGTCTTGTATTGCATGTAAATGTGCTGAATAACCAGTTGCATTCAGGCACATCATTTGGGGAATCAAGCACATTCAGTCACCTTCCACTTTTCATTTTCTTTTTTAGTTGTCCATTTTCCAGATTCATAAAAGTATTCAGACAGTGTGTGAAAGGCATGAACAACTTGGGGATGGAAAAACATATGATGAAATCCTGAGACCAATCTAACCACACTCAAAGCTAATGTTAGGAATACCAATGCACTATTATCCAAGATGATGAACCAGTACTAAACAAAGCTGTTTCCTTTCAGTTCAAAACCATGTCGGTATTTCGATCAGGGAAGAGGCGAGTGTCCCTTCAATGAAAAGTGCTTTTACCTTCATGCATATCCAGACGGGCGGATAGCGGAACCCCAGCCCCGGAAGGTCCGGAGGCGGAGGAACGCAGATGGCGAGACGGACATTGTTAGGCGGATCAGCTTGTGGGACTTCTTCGAGGAGAGGGACATGAGGCACAATTTATGGATCCTAGAAGAGGAGTTCTTGTCACACCTCCTGTTAGATATTATGTTAGATAGTGATTCAAGTAGTGATTCTGATGACGCGTGGTAGCATTTGATTGGTCAGGGACTGGCATGTCGTGTTCTTATTGGCTAATTTATTCTGACTAAACTTGCAGGGAGTGAGCTTGGCCTTTGTTCAGGGCAGAGTGATTGATTTATAGGAGAGTCAAGGATTTGTTTGGTATTAGAAGAAATTGATTCTGCTAATCTGCTACTGGGTTGACTCTGGATAATGGTAGGATAATATTCAGACCCAACAATACACTGCTATAAACCTTCAATAACCAAATAAACCCGTTTTGTACAGGAACGTCTGTGTACTTACAGTTCATAGTGATGTGATATTTTTATTATGCCCTCTGAATCATACAACATATTTATATTTGTGCCACTTTACTGCCATGAATTGTTTTGTTTCCTTACTTGACTGATTTCCATGGTAACGATTTCCTCAGAAATAAGACCTTGTGAAGATCTGGGTAAGAATAGATCGATCTACTGCAAACCATGCTGACAAAATGGATAGGATAGAAAGACTCACTGATGTGTTTGATACCTGACATCCTATATCAGTTGTGTACATTGATCTTGATGATGTCAATCATTGGATTATCTGGTTCACACTGCTATATTAATCAAACAAACAATGAAATCAGTTGTGGAAGGTAGAGTAATTAGTTTCACTGTTTGTGACTTCCGAGATAATATTCTATCAGGGTGTTTGTAAAATATTTTAGCATTCTTTTGTTTTTGTTATAATAAATTGTTTTTGTTTTGCACAAAAACAAACGAGTTGAAATGAGTTTAGCTTGTAAGACCAAATCAATGTTTCTGTTTTTAATGTTTTTGTTACGTTTCCCAATCACTGATTTTCTTAAAAAGTTGTCTGTATAGGCTTTGTCTTGTCACACATTTTTAACCTGAACGTGTTTCAACGAACAAAAAGCAACCCAAATATGTATTTGGTGTTTAGTATCAACTGGCCATCAACTCGTTGCAGTTTTGAAAATCAAGCATGGATGTCAAGAAGTCTTAGTCTTAATGTCAAAAGTTTAAGCAGACCCTGGATTCTAATAGCCAACATAATAGAGCCCAAGTACCGCCTTAGTTTTGAATACAGTTTGATTGTTGTTTTGTTTGATGTTTGGTTGTCTGTTATTGATCCAACAGGTTTTGAGATGCCCCTGTCAAGTGAAACTTTGTGAGCAGACATTCTGTACCCGTTGGACTTGTGGTATCAAGAGACAGAACCCTGTATAGGTTCCTGCACAGCTCGAAAGTGCCAGTCTTCCACTGTTTACCGACTTTGTTAACTAGGAATATATGCATATGCTCAATAATGTACTGGCAACCTGATGTGTTACATTGTCAATATTCATACAATTCACTTCATGCTGTGTAGGGGCGGTGGGGTATCCTAATGGTTAGAGTGTTCGCTTATCATGCCAAAGACCTAGGTTTGATTCCCCACATGGGTACAATGTGTGAAGACCATTTCAGGTATTGGCTTGGATGTGGATAAATGGTTGTACTTTCCAAAGCTCCGTATACTGTTGTTTAAAGCAGTGCTGAACTGCATCTTTGCTGAACTGCATCTCCCATCCCGACAATAGTTCGTATCAGGATTTTCTGTTTGTTAACTCAATGTAGATGATAGTTTTATGAGTAACAACCTCTTTTCATTGTGATAAACAGGTAATCTCATTTTTCTCCCTGAACTTTCTGCTGAAATTTTGGGATGAAGAAGTTTTGGCATGGAGAAGTTTTGAGAGGGAACCTTTCAATGTGATAAAGAAATTGTTTCACAAGAGCTTTTCTCTACTTGTTAAACCCCAGTTTGCCGCCGCTCATCCTGTTGATAATTAACACCAGCCTTCACTCAGTTTTTCTATCAAATGGATAACACTTTCTTTTCAGTGTAAGTTATTTTCCATAAACTTTTGTCTACTTTGTCATCCATCAATGTGTAATAAAGGCCTGTATCAAATGGTGTAGTTTTTCAGGTATTGGATAGGTCTGTTGCAAAGGATTGTGGGTCACACATTGTAAGCAGAATACCATCTGTTGCATGGATACCACTGAACCTTATCCCTACACAGTTTGTCAGCTACCTCACTGACATGAAGTGAGCAGGGTGCTTGGAATGTTGACAGTGAACATGCAGGTGCTAGCCCATGTGATAGAGAACGATTCCATTTGTATCTGGACATGTTCAGAGATGTAACTTGGCATTAAGTCTGAACTTGTGTAACGGTTTCTTTTCTTTTGTTATTTAGGATCTGATCATGGACTTGTATTTCCATTTTTAAGACTTGCTACAGAATTATTTTTAGTACTAGACTGACATGAATCATATATTAAACTTGTGAACAGAATTAGATTTTGTAGTATAAAGATGTATTTTGAAGTAGACCAACTTTAAGACATAGTTTCCAGATATAGTAACGCGATACCTGATCAGGAGACTCAAACAGCTAGTCATAGAAATATAGAGTGAGTGTTTGTTGCAAGTACAGTCCAACAAAGGCCAGGCCCCCATTTCTCGAAACAAACTTAAGTTTTTACTCAAATCTCAAACTGAGTTCACAATTTGGAACAGCTGAATTTTTAACTCAACTGCATTTTTTAATTATAAAAGCCCAAACAACTAAACTAATCTATCCACCAAACTCAAATTATCTTCTATAGTTTGAGTTTAATACCGATTTCAGTTCATTCTGTGAAATGCATGTTCCTGCATTTTCTCAAATTTGAGTAAAAACTCGAACTTAAGTCAAAACCCAGACTTAAGTTTGTTTCGAGAAATCGGGGCCTGGTCTGTGAGTTAAGTCATCATCACATCCTGATGCCTGGTTACCATGACAACAAAGTTAACTTTGAAGGACATCATGTAAGTAACAAATGCTGGGTATGGTTAATATGACTACAAGAAGAGCCCACTAACTCCCCCACTAAGTTCCCCACTAAGTCTCTCATGTTCGTGTTGTTATGCCTACAAGACAAAATGTGAGTAAACTTCTGTTATGTCCCTTTTGTCTGGGTTACCATGGCAACTAGTATGTTAAGAGGATACTCACTTGTATATGAGAGATGATAGCTGAAAGTGAATAATCACAAAGTTTTTTGAGGATGTTGTATTCTTCCACTCCTGCATGTGAAATGCGTTTCTGGTATCACCCAATAGGATATTGCTGGATTATTGCTAAAATCATACTCACTGACCCATGAAAATCCATGTCAAAATTTAGTGTTTTTAGTAACCTATGCTTGTCATAAGAGGCGACGAACAGGAAAGGTGGTCAGGCCAACTGACCTGGTTGACATATGTCATCATATCCTAATTGTGTAGGTCGATGCTGATGCTGTTGATCACTGGATTGTCTGGTCCAGACCCGATTATGTACAGATCACCGCCATATAGCTGGAATATTGGTGAGGGCGGCGTTAAACAACAAACAAACCAACCAACCATACTCACTCACTCACTCACTACACTTTCAGCAAGCGTATATTCAGACATTTTCCCAGTTTTTGTTAAAGGTGTGAAATAAGTCAGACAACATTTTCCATGTTAATAGTTCTACTTTGTTTTTCAAGCTCCCCTGTTGTCTAATGTTTTTTTCTCAGACTTACTGCAGGGTTATGTGTTACTTCCAATGTCCACATTCACCTCCATAGTGCGATGTGCTCACTCGGTCTTATCAGGATCCCCTACCTGTTGATAGTGCTGTTTTGTTATGTTACGTTTGTCCCAACTGAACCGTTCTGTGATACACTCTAGTAACCTGTGATTATATGAAGATCCTATGAGTTTAGACTAATTTCATAACTTTTTGTGTCAATCTGCAACTTGATTTTCTCTTATTTGCTAAAGAGGTCCTGTGTCCCTCTGAATATAAATAGGGTGGTGGGGTAGCTTAATGGTTAAAGCATGCGCTCATCTTGCTGAAGGCCCGAGTTAAATTCCCCACATGGGTAATACCATAACCACTCACTCACTCACTGAATTTAAATATTTTATTGGCTGTAAAGTAACTAATTTTCCTTGTTTAATTTGATCAGTTCTGATTTGGTTTCAATTTAGTTTTTCGGAAAAGATGCATGCAACTGGTCAGTCGGACACCATATTTTGAAGTAAAATGTAAAGCAGTAATTATATGAGAATTTAGATTTCATATTTGTCCTTGAAGAGATGGTTTCAAATTTTGACCTGTTTGAAGTGTTTATGAAGCCTGACTTGTTTATCTCGCAGTCAAAGGTATTGTGTGCATCATTATTTGTGCTGAATCGTTAACTCATCTGTGGGTTGAATCAAAAGTAGGATTATTTTTGTGTTCCCTTTTTACTTAGCATTGGAGTCATGAACTAACTTTTGATAAAAAATCATGCTTGATAAAATTATGAAATTCAAGTTTTAAAATTGGTGTAGGCTGCTTAAGATATAAAATACCAAGGCCTTGGCAATGGCCACATTAACTTGTGTTCCTGTATTGATGTTTCAGGTCATTTGAAGAGACACTCTTTGTTCCTTTTAAACAACTGTGGCTATCTGCTCTTGCAACTGACAACATGACAACCAGTTGTTTTATACTCTTAGACCTTAAACAGTATCAAAACAGTTTATTGTCATTTTAGTGAGACCACTCGTGCAATCCATGTTAATGGTACGCACAACAAAATGATAATGACATGATAGTGATTTACATGGCTTGTACAAAGATGTATTTATTTATGTGGAAAATAAAGAATGTAGAATACGTCACTGTTTGCTCATATCCAACCAAATTTGCCCTGAAATGAATGGCTCAAAACTTAAGATTGCTGTATGGAGTCTTTTGTGAAATTGTTTCATGTTGTGCTTCATTTTTTTACTTTACTTTGTGTCTAGGAAACAGACCATGTGACCTAATTAGCACCAAATTATGTATCAACTTGACATAGAAATGTCTTATATCCTGTCTCGTGTGACAATGTGTCATATTGCACCTATGTGTTATAAATCAACAAAGTATCACATATTGAGCCCAATCTCATTTAGTATTGTGACTTCTCACATGATTCATTATTTTTAGACTCAGTATCACTATATGTATCTTAAGTGACTGTATGTATCATATGTGATGCAGCGTAACATTATGTAACTTGTGTGACTTATTATCACATTGTTTCATTTGATCACATTTTTCAATGATATGTGACTTAATATCACATTTAGTGTCATGTGACTATGAATCATGTGATTTGTTATCACCATGTATATGATATGTGACTGAACCACACAATGTGTTATACTGTAACTAAGTATCACATACATGTATATGATATTGAGGCTTAGTGGCACATTGTGTATCAGATGTGTCTTAGTATCACAAACATTTTCTGTGACTTTGTATCACATTGTGTCTACATGATATACTGTCAGTATGTGTCCTTTTTTGTGATATGTTGCAACTATATATCACACGTGTCATATTGAAGCTCAGTGGCACATAATGTATCATATTGGCTCCATTATGTATGGTTGCTGCACAAGAGAAACAAGTCACCAAAGTTGCTTTATAGATATTTGTGTGTAAACTTACGAATACTTTACTTTCAACGCTCCATTTGTTCTGAATATGTTAGTTGATAGTACCTGTGTGAAATAGAACATGGAGAAATATTGGCACATATCAATTCCTAATCAGGATTGTCAAGACGGTGAAAGTATTGATAAACGGTTGCATTTATGGGCACTTCCTTCATAATTATTTGTTTTTAATATTGTGTATTTTCAGCTTCCAAATATTAATACTGTTTTGATTATTATTGTGGTGTTGGAATATTTCTTAAATTTGATGTCTCTTTATAGCAGCATATAAACAATCATTGTTTTTGTCACACAAGTTGAACAATATTGTATTGCAATAACCTCCCTATTTTGTGTAGGATGATGGAAACAGTATTACATATTTTTTTCTAAGTTGAAATAGCTTAGGATGTTGATTAATGGATGGAGATTTACTATGGCCCCTGACAAATTAGTTTAAAAAATTTATTTTCACCTCACTACATCTTCTGTTCTTTGTGGATGTTAGACCAAGGGCAAGTAACTTTAATTTTCCAACTTGGTCACGGGGCCCACCACATTTTAAACTAGAGATTTTTAATCTCCTAATATGTTTGACAAAATATGTTTTTAAAAAATAATCATGTCATTTCAGGTCAAACAAAAAAACACCCTAAACCCACAGAAACGTGAAACTGGTTGACAATTGGAAGATACAAAGTATGTGCACTGTTTAATCATGGACCTTTGTCATTTAAGACAACTGGCAAATGGAAAGGTGTGTGTTGATCCTATAGAACTAAAACAAAATGTCATTAATCTTAACAGGGATTTACAGGATGCGAATTCCTGCATCCTATACACATAAAATTGACAATGGATGCAACAAAATTTATTAGCACATCCACAGGGACGCACAAGTCCAAATACTTTTTGTACAAATTCCAATCAAGTAACAAAAAGTTACCAAAGAGTTTGCTACTAGCTGGGTTATTAGTCTGTATGGTGTCATTTGCTATTCAATTCCTGTAACAAATAATGTGATGATCATGATACACAAGACAATAACACTATTAATAATAATAATATTTAATTGTCTGGTGCCCCATTTTGTTGTCCAACCCCTGAAATTTAAGAGTCCCAGGGACCCTCAAAAACAGGACTCAAGGTAAAATCCCCGTCTGATTATCAACTGTATACTACTTGTGTAAAGACAGATTAACTGTAGGAATCTGAAAAAATTGAGTGGTTTTTTAGGTATATTTCTTCCCATTATTGTCTGTACGTTCTTTGTTCTGATGGTTTCTGTTAATGATGTTGGGCTACCACAGTTTTTTTGTTTGTTTATTGAATATTGATCAATGAATGATCAAACTCAAAGCATCTGTGTGTTCCACATTACTTAGTTGCTAATATTGATGCCACAAAATGGATTTAAAACATATCTGCTTCTGACATGCTGGAAAAAGCATCACACTCAGGTTTAACAGGAAGTTAGTGTTGCCTAAGGTTGCACCATGTGTCGGTGGGTTTCATTTCCTTAAATGGAGCCGTGTGTTGTCTGGATGTAGTCTGATGCTTACGGGGGCAGTGGGGTAGCCTAGTGTGATTAAAGCATTCCCTCATCTCACCAAAGACCCAGGTTCAATTCCCCACATGGGTATAATGTGTGAAGCCCATTTCTTGTGTACCTCACAAACACCAGGGGTGGGTGGGCCCATGGTGTGTGATCCATGGTGGGTGGCCGAGGGTGGGTGATCCATGGGTGGGTGATCCATGTGTATACTCCTGATACCAACAATCTATTTTACAGTCCTCACATCCTGCTCATTTTGTAAAATGGTTCCATTTCCCTCCTCCAGTTTCTTGTGTATTTTATATCCATACAAAGCTACAAAGCAAGCTAAAGAGATTTGTAAAAGCAAACTATCAAGCATGATATTGGATAATTTAAAATTTGTCTAACCACGCAGGG